TCATTGTAATAATGTATAATACCTCTATCAGATCTACTATTTATGGGTGTTTGGGTTTTTACAGTTTTGGGGTATTATAAATAATTTTTTCAAGCACATTTTGTATATGTATTCTGGAAAAATATATGTGAGAGTTTTTTTTAAAAGATCTATACCTAGTATAATTTCTGGGTAACAAAGTCACAGTCACTTTTTGCAAGTCTCACAGAAAAAAACAATGTCAGATGACACAAATGATGTATATTGTGCATTTTACCTTGAGATTAGAACCGTTGGTTTACAACCACATACAAGTGGTTGACCAAAAAGGCAGTCTAGGTTGATGGGAACAGAAGTGGGGATGGGATGAGAGTTATGTAAGATGAAAAGGGGTCAAGATTTATGTGATAGGTTAGAATGTCTCCAGGAAGGAAATCTGTGAGTAAATTTTGTGTCATTATAGTTAGGAGTCCCACAGTTTTTCAGGAATTAATAGCATTCTTTACACTAGTTGTTCTCCATGTGAATCTGTAACAATGGTTTATGTTTTCTCTATATTACGGAGAAGTTTGGGCAGCTGGGGGACAATTGACTGATCCTTGGCCAAATGATAATAAAAGGGGACACAGCTCTTCTAGGACTGAGATTTTCATTGTCCCTTTCTAAAAAGCAGAAGGGAGGTACTAACACTCTACCAAAAAAGAAGGAAAAGAATCTTGTCAGAAATGGAGAATGGGAGAACATTTATCCAAATTAAAGGCTGTATCTACTGAAAGCAATGGTGGCTATAAGAAGATGGGTGTAGCATAACAACCCGAGGCAGTTTGGGTTCCTTTGCATATAATTGTACAGAATGTGCTCTAAGTGGGTTAGTGAGCTATAATCAAACATGGTAGAGTTGAAGAACGGTCTCTGTGTGTTCTGTCACATGGTTGCACTGCACTGAGGCGTCCTGCCAAGACAGCTACAGGAATTGTTTTTCATGTGCTCTGGCTGATCTCAAAGGCAAGGCAGAAGGGTTGATAGCTTAGTGAGTTATTTTTCCTGACTCTCTGAGGAAGTTGAATATTTGGGAATTTAATACAGTTTCGCTGGCTTGTGTTGATCTTTGGATACCATATTAAGATCACATCAGGATAATGAGAGAAGGATTAAGGAACTACTGGTTTCATTTGGGATCATGTCAGAGAGGGTTGTTTTTACATCTGGCAGGTACTTCCCAAGTTGAATAAAGTAGTATTTGTGACAGACTGTAGTGGAGGATGCTGGTAACATGCAGAACCAAACCTTAAATTTGCGTGCTATTATGACTTCTATTGGATGTGAAGATTTGTAGGTTATCGTTTCCACAGATGTAAAGTGAACTTATTATTCACTGTACATCTAAGTACCTTATTGTCTTGATTTCTTGTCTTATTTCTGAATGGTCCCAGAGTGTATGGAAATGGTGATGGGTTTTGTAGTTTTGCTATTATGCCTTTCCTGGAAAACAAAGTGAGCTTTTCATGCTTGAGTAAACACATTGATGTATTATGAAACTGTCAGACTCTGAACAATTGGCATAAGCTCAATTATTCAAATATGTGACTCTATTGAATGGCTTTTATGCTGGCTGATGCTTTAGTACAGGCAGTATAAAGACGTTTTAATATCTTTCCTTAAGAAATTAAATCTCAACTGCATGAGTAAAGAAATCCAAAGGATTAGTCCTTTAGTTGAGCACTTTCCTCATTATCTTGTATAGCTAATTGGTAGCATTCATTTACTGAGATTTATAGTTCATTTTATTTTTTTTTAAATATGGTTTTTAAATTAAAAAGTCATTCATGCATTATCCTTGTCACCTAACATAACTGCTTTTTTCTTCTTTGTTCTCTTCCTGTCAGTCCACATGCACATATGCTTTTTAAATGTAGTGTAGCTGCAATTTTGTTTTCTTTTTTAGTTATATTTGCATGGTAAATCTTTTTCAAGTTCTGTGGTCTTTATAATATTTATTTTTATTGTTGCATAATATTGAATTATTTAATAATATGCAATCATTTTTCTTCTTTGAAATGTATGTTTTCTAGTTTTTATTTTTACACATAATAGTGCAAAGATGTATTTGTGCATTATTTTCAGTTATGAGGACAGATGCCCAGAAGTATTTCAGTGGACTTGAAAAGATTTTTTTCTTTTATGTATTGCTCAATTGCTTTCCAAGAGGCAATTGTATGATTATATAAATATGCAATCTTTTATACCAACCCAAAAAAGAAAGATGAAGACTATTAAATGTTAGCATCCTACAAAATTAACATTTGGAGCATCCTGTAATCTTAGTAGAGGCTTCTTCATTTGTAAATTCAATTTCCATTTTTAGCAGAGTAATGTATGCAAATAGTTTAAAAAATCTAATAAGCTGTTTAGTGTGACAATGAAAAACAGCAGCCTCTTGCCTCCTTCCCCACTCCAGTTTCCGGCTTTTGACTCTTTCTGCGAATATTTGCCTCCATATTGCTAAATGACTTACTTTTGCGGCTTGATTTTTTTTCCTCTTTGAGTTATTTATGGATTTCTTTTTATGGAAGACGAGGCTTTAGTTCTTACAGTTTCTTTCCCATTCTCAATATTGACATAACATAAATTTTGGTTTTACCAATATAGATACTATAATGTTATGACTGTAAGTATTGTTCATAATCAGATTTTATATTATATGTTCTTTCACTTTATATTTTCCCTGGAATTAATAACCCTCTTTCCTTTTGCTTGCTTTGTTCTCTCTATGCCTATTTCTGATTTATCACCAAACATTCTGAAAGAGTTGTAAATCTCCTTTGATGCTTCCAAACATATCAGATAATTCCTCAGGTGTGTTTTTATTTTTTTTTTCAAAACTTCCCTCTGGGAGCTGTCATATTTTGCTCCAGTGTAGATGGTTTGCTCTTGGGGCCTGTTGTTCAAGCTACATCTTGAAATTCCCTTAATGATTTTATCCTGGGAATTTCCTTTACCTTTCTCTGTTTTGTTGATTCTGTTTCCTGGATCTCAGGTTGTTTTTCTTTTAAGTTTATTTACATATTTTGATGGAGTCCTGAGAAAGGTACAAGGAAACTAAACTTTTTGATACCATGTGTGACTGAAATGTTTTTATTATGTAATCATACTTAATTGATAGTTTGGCTGGGTATACAATTTTAGGTTGGGAATAATGATTTTTTAGGAATTTTGAAGGCATTGCTTCATTGCCCACTTACTTTCAAGATTCCTTTTGAGTCCAGTGCCATTCTGATACCCAATTCTTCATTATGATCTTTTTCTTTTATTTCCTGTCTCTGGAAGCTTTTAGAATCTAATTTCTGGAGTATTCCTTGATATGTACTTTTTTATTCATTCGTTTTATTGGTTGCATGGTGGGTCCTCTCAAACCAGAAAAAGCATGTCCTGCAGTTCCCTGTATTTCTCTCTTTGAACTGTGAATTACTTTGTAGTACCTTGTGAACTGGTCCATTCATTTTCCTCTCTTTTTTTCTTCCATTTTCCCATCTTTTCAACTTTTTATTCCACCTTCTGAGGACTTTACTCACTTTATTTTTCACCTCTTTTATGGGATTCTTTTATCAATGCTACAGTATTTTTCACTTTCTGAAAGCTTGTTTCTAGTTCTTCTAATTACGCTTTTTATGGTGTTGTGTTGCTTCATCTGTGATTTCTCTGAGGATATTAATTATATTTTGGTTGAGGAAGTATTTTTTCTGCTCCCTGCATCATGTTTGTTTCCTCTGAGATGTGGGGTGTGTGTGTGTGTGTGTGTGTGTGTGTGTGTGTGTGTGCACATTCTCTTTCTTGCATGTGGCAGTGGAGATCAGGGGAGGTGGGCCTGTTTGGAAGCTCCATGTGTTGGTGAGGCATATAACCTGAAGCTTCTCTATAGGAAGATTGGTGTCTGCAAGTCTGTGCTCATGCCCAGGAGCCGGGCTGCGGGGAGAAGAGAGGGTGGGATCTTACTGGCCAGGCTTTGACTCAGTCCCCTGTTTTTAGCAGGGTTACGTTACCCCTGCCCTCAGCTGTGCTTAGCTGTGTTTGGACTTACGTCTTCTGGAGAGGAAATTTCCAGGCTCCTGCCTGGCTCTGCAGGGTAGAGAAGAGAATATGGCAGTTTAATTGTTCTTTATATAAATTTTCAATCAGTTCTCCTTTCCTCAGAGGTACATGGACCTAGTTTCTTATTGGCTACTCACCCCACAGGCTTAAATTCCAGCTTTGTTTCGATTTGTTGGTTGGTTACCATTCATTCCTCTGTTTTCTAGCTTAAAGGATTTTGTTGCATATCTAGTTTGCTTTTTGTACTCTTTCATTTTTTGTCTTCATGGGCTTATTTCACATTATATTTATGTTCATGTGAATTCTTTTGGTGTCATTTTAATACAGTTTTTAAAAAGTGTGGGGAAAGAACACATACTCAGTCTGCCGTGGTTGATGGAAGTATCCAGTGCAGACTTTTTAGATTGGTCATATATATATATTTTGCCGGCACACATTTGTGGGATATTTATTATACTTTCTGATATATGATAATTTCTTTAAAAAATGTCTTTTAAAATATTTTTAAATATTTTAACATTTAAATATTTAAAAATATTTTTTAAATGCATTTTTACTTGTCTGTTTTTACGTGTCTATTTAGCATTGCAGATTTAATGTCAGTTTTCATAAGTCAATATTTATGTCTACTGGATAGCTTAAAGGAGTGACTGTTCTTCTCATTAAGTTGCTCATTAATTTTTAAAAACCTTTTATTTTGAAATAATTGTAGATGGATAGGAATTTCAAAAATAGTACTGAGAGGTTCCTTATACTTAGTTTTTCCCAGTGGTAGCATCTTCACAACTACAGTACAGCCATCAAAGTTAGGAAATTGATGTTGCTACAATCTTCATTAGTTTTTAAAAAACATTGTTTTACATTTCATAGTAGCCCAAAAGTTTATGATACAAACACATGTGAAATCTATGTTAAACTCTTTTGTCTTTCAGCAATTTTTCCAGCTAGTCAAATTACGAAAGCTTGGACTTAGTGATAATGAAATTCAGCGGCTCCCTCCAGAAATAGCAAACTTCATGCAGCTGGTGGAACTAGACGTGTCTCGAAATGGTAAGAAAGATTCCACTTGGGTTGGCCATTTATCTCTTCAGATGCTGGGAGTGTTTTTAGTAAATACAGCTAGATAAATATTATTGGAGGTGCTTTCCCTGATAGTCATGGGAAAACTGTATGATTCTTGGGGTGAAATTAATGCCATTTTTGAATAGATCAGTTAACTTATAGGCATTTTCCAAAAAAAAAATTTCATAACACAAGTTTTGGAGACAGCTTTCTCCAAATAAGTTCAATCTGATTCCTAGAGTTAGAGAGTGGGCTGGGAAATCATTTAACCTTGTCCACTTATTTTGCTGAACATGATACTGAGGACTGGTGGCACGGTTCTTGTCCAGTGCTTGGGTGCTGCTGTGGCAAGGGAAACCTGCCCTGCGGAAGGGTTGGTTCCTCTTGGCTGTGTCTCTGTTGCTTGGTATACTCTCCCTGTAGTGAACAGACCTGCTTGCGTTCAGGCATCTTCTGTCTTCATTTGTTTCTAATTAGGCTGCTGGTGGTTTTGCCCACTTCAATTTGTGTGGTATATTTGTGAGTTGATTTTTATTTTCAGATCCCACTATTGATTCATTTTTATTGAACATTTGAATAGAGCATCCTAATAGATACCCCAATGGGATACTCAAATGCCTTTCATTTTTAAATGGGTACCTTGGTTTAACCCTGAGTTTTATACCACTTAGAGGGCTTCCCACATGGGCTGGTATTGCTCCTTGTTATAGCATATTTGATTTATTAAATTAAAGTAGCAGCTCCCAGTGGTCCTATCTACTGATGGAATTCAGTTCTTGTAAGGACCCTGGTATAATTTCCTCACGATAGTCTCAAATATGGTCTGAATTATTTATTGAAAAGGTAATTCCTTTATTTATCTCCTATTACATCCCTGATTTATTTTGTGTTTTGCTTTTGCTTTCCTACAAAAATCTGTAGGTTTCTTCTGAATCGATTATCTTTAGGTCTGTGTATTTCTGTCTGATATTTTTGACAAAAACCCCAGGTCCCAGACATAGTATTCTTTTGTGGATCATTGTTATAATGCAGCAGTCAGTACTTGGTCGGAAATATGGTGAAGAAAAAATGATTCCTCCTTTCTGCCAACTTCTAATAGGTTTTAAATTGCTGTTATCTATTACATTCCATAAATTAGAAACTGTCTTCTGGCTTAGCCATGTGATCATGACATACTTTTATTTTGCATGAAAATTATTTCTTACTTTGAAGGTACTAGAAAAAGTAAAACAAAACAAAACTTTTTTTTGGGAGAGTGTCTTGTTTTAGATGGCTTATTTGGTTGCAGGGAACCCAGATCTACCTAGGTAAAGTGGATTTGATTGTACGGAAGCAGAGGGTGGAGGGAATTAACATATACCAAAAGCAGTGGCACCAAGCTTGCATTTGACACTATCTTGAGGGTTTCATGGCCTCTCTTTTCCAGTGTGTCTGCGTCTGTTTGTGGGTTCTCTGTTCTTCCCTCCTCAGTGACCTGCTCTGTTGTAACTGGCTTGTGGTGACCTCTTTTTTGTGATTTCTTTTTACGTACAGTTTGGCTTTTGCCCCTGCTGCAGCATTTGTTTGCCAGTGAAGGATTTCTCAGTGAAGAAGGGTTGATCCAACTTATCTTTTTATGCCAACTGTAAGACATAGAGTACAGGTCAGGTTACCAGCCACCCTGAAGGTTGGCTGCCCTGGGAGGTGGATGGCAACCAGTACAAAGCATGGCCCTGCCCTCAGCTCAGAAGGTGTTGATGAGCAGCTTCGCTTACGCTGGAGTATGGGGTGGGGTGGGCATGTGGGGTCTGGCCAGGCCAGAATTGCCTCAGAAACTAGCCTGTATAATATTTACCCAAAGTATATGTGATTGAAATGATTCTCTTGTCTTAGCAGTTATCTAAGTTATAAACAATGACTAGCTATTAACTCTGCAAGGAAGCAGTGACTTTGTAAAATGGTCACAGAAATCACAAAATCTGAAGAAATACGTAGCAATTTTGAAATGGGGATTAGAGATAAACAGAAATACTTAAGAAAGATGAAAAGTTTTGGCTCTCACTCTTTGAGAGGAAGGAAACCATACAGCTCAAAAGTTCCCAGTCCCGTAATTAACTCTAATAGGATGCTCAGTGGAAAGTCAGAACTGGTCAGCCGCCAGTTTTACCAGTTCCCACATCAGCTCTTTCAAACACTTGTAACTAGAAAGTAGGGCTCCATGCATCTTCCCATGTGTCCGCTTTTACCTTCCAGCACGTTGATAAAAGAAGCTAGTCTTTCACTGAAGGCAGTATCAGAACACAAAAATGTTTCTGCTCCTTGAGACACCTACACTGCTTTTTTTAATTTTATTTTTTCCCTCAGTTTCAACCTTTCCTTCTGCAAGTGTTCGAGTTTTGTGAAGGATCCTGCAGAACATTCACCTTCTTACCCAGCTCTCTTAGAAATGCTGAGAGGGAGTTAACTGTTCCCTTCCCTTCTTGGCAGGGCCTGGCTCTGGCTCAGTAGCATGATGTGTGTGGTGGATGTGGGGGTAGAGGGGAAGACAGCATGGAAGGCTCGGGGCTTTCCCGGAGGTTGTTAAAAGAAAGAATGAACCTGGGCTGGGTGCAGTGGTTCACGCCTGTAACCCAGCACTTTGGGAGGCCAAGGCGGGGGGATCACGAGGTCAGGAGTTCGAGACCAGCCTGAGCAACGTGGTGAAACTCCGACTCTACTAAAAATACAAAAGTTAGCCAGGCTTGGTGGCACGCGCCTGTAATTACAGCTACTCAGGAGGTTGGGGCAGGAGACTCGCTTGAACTTGGGAGGTGGAGGTTGCAGTGAGCCAAGATCGTGCCATTGCACTCTAGCCTGGGCAACAGAGCAAGACTGTCTCAAACAAACAAACAAACAAACAAACAAACAAAAGAAAGAATGAATCAGTGCAGATGACAAAGCAGAAGAACAAGGTCACTATTTACTGTAACCAACAGGTATAGGGGTCTTAGGCCATTTCTTGGTCTGGCAGATCTCAGTATGCTTCCTGTCATTTTTTGGACAGATAAAATCATATCAATCTGAATACCCTAGGCAAGTGAGTAGGCAAATAAAAGTCACAAAGCCTGCAGCTGGAGAGTTAGTGTAAGAACCTGACTTTGTACAGGTGCAGACATTTGTGAGGGTTTGTGACTGGTGCCTGGAGGCCTGTGTGGGCCTCTGGTCTTCTGTTGCCCCACCTGACAGTGCCCACTTTCGGATCAGAGGCTGTTCCTTTGGGTCCCTGCCCAGCCTCAGTGGTTTGTAGCAGGGTTATAACCAGGGCTGGCCACAGTCATGATAGGACCTTCCTTAGTTCTTGATTTTGCATTGCTTTGACCAGGGAGGAGACAGTCCATTGGATTAGTGCTTGTCATACTTCAGTGTGCAAGGAATTATCTGAGACTCTTGTTAAAATGAAGATTCTGATGCAGTAGGTCCAGAGTGGGTCTGAAGATTCTGCATTGCTAAGAAGCTCCCAGGGAATGCCAACTCTGCTGGTCCCCAGCCACACCAAGAAGGATCTTAGACATCACCACCTGCAGGCTTGCTGCTAACTTTCCTTCAGCAGCTTCCTGTGGTTAGGAGCCCACATTCACTCCCTTCAGGTACCCTTGCACCCTCCCATGGAAGGTGGGAGATCTTCCGGTCATTCCTGGTTAAAGGGTAAGATGCTAGAGCTGACTTTAGCTCAAATTTGCTTTGATTCTAAAAGCAAAACTAGACCTTTCCGGATGTTTCCTTGCTCAAGTGAGGAGAAAACTCAGGTTTTGTGTTTCTCTTTAAAGAGGTTTGTAAATGAAGAGAGAAGTTTTTACAGTCTCATTTTCTGGGCCAAGAAGAACTGCCAAGACCTTCAAACACTGACTTTTGTGGCTTTGTTTTCTGACATTTCAGGAGCAAAGTCAAGGGAATTGTGTGCTGTGTTGGAAAAGAGAAGCATGAGTTTAGGGAAAAAGAGGGCAGTGCTTATGGATTATCTAAACTGCAAGGATTTTTTTTTTTTTTTTTTTTTTCCTGAGGGACAAGTAGAGAGCTTTGGGGTGAGCACAGTGCATATGATCTCTTCCCCAGAATGACTAGATGTGCTCAGCAGAGAGGACCCTGGCTCGGAGCCCTGGCTCTGCTGTCAGCACGCGGTCGACTTTGGGCAGGCACCTTCTGATACCGCTGGGCCTTGTTTTGAGGAGTGGGATAAAACCCTGCTCCCTGTATGTGCCCAGTGAGAGTCGAGGAAAGCGACACACTTCTCATGTCTTAACTTGGTGGAATTTTTTTTTTTAAACAGGCAAATGTCTAAAATATATATGAGAAGAAAAAAAGTAGGTGTTTCCCCTGAACATAGAGTAAAGGATGATTGGAGTATATGAACTAGATATCTGAATTTGCTGGTAACATTTTGTCTACAAAAAGTATACAGACTTAGAATTAAGTTCTGCAGCAGTTTTCTGTGGTGAAATGCATATGCTTCAATGCTTGGACCTTATATCTGCTTTCTCTGCTCACTGATTATTAGCTGCTTGAGGAAAATGACCTCTGATTGTGTGAGAAGTGGTATTACCTCTTTGTGTGAGAAGTGGTATTATCGCTGGCTGCTTGAGGAAAATGACCTCTGATTGTGTGAGAAGTGGTATTATCGCATAGTAGGATCTTGCTCTTCAAGAATCTAGGGCAGACTTTCTTAATGCTTCATGATTCCTGCCTCAAGGGTTAGTAATTTGAATTTTATAGTCTATACTGTAATTTGACTTACATCACAGTACTATATCATTATCCATTTAGTTCAGTTTTCCCCAAATTGTAAGGCGTATACTACCAGCACTGCTAGAGATGATTTTAACTGGTGCTGCAAAACAGCAATTTTAAATTTTGAGTCATGGTGAGAAAGTTATCCTTTTAGTTTCAATTTTGTTCCTTTTGGATTGCATCTGTAAAATTTGATAACACTATATTGTATTTGCTACATTTATCTTTTATATCTAGTAGTGATA